CTTTGTATTCATAGTTAGGCTCACAACTTAGATAGTGTCCCACGTATAATCAGGATTGAAACGGTGCGTCATCGTAATCAATTCTCAATATTGTATCGAACTCTTCCATTTGTCACTTGACGCTATATTACAAAATGAATTCTTATCGGATTAAACTATTATACCGATAGAAATTATGCCTTTCAGATAATCTAAAGGGCACGAAAATCCCCTTAGTTGCCCAATAATTCAATACACCATGGTCAAACTGTCACCACAACTGTTGGCCAAGCACGGAAGTGTATACCATCGTGCCCAATGCAAATCGCATCACTAATGCTAATGCGAAAGCTATTATCTAACAGCAGTAACAAAACGATGGCAAAATGCTTCACAACTCGAGATGTGCCGAAGAAACTAGCATTATCATCGTAAAACACATCGCATCGTACTGTGGTAGAGACTAACTAAATGATTAGGTTTTTTATTGGTAGTCAAGCTGAATCCTGACTGCACAATAGTAGGGGGAAAGAAAGTAGAGAATACTCAACCCCGCCCGCTATAATAAGTACCTAGGTACTTCAACATATTAGGACACAAGTCCAGCGTAAACTGGTTACATTAGATACGTTGAGGACGTCCCTCACTGATGAGAATCGCGACCACAGATAAATAATAAATCTTTAAATAAATCTTTGGACAATTTCACACAGCGCCAGCTAGCCCCAAAGTAAGCAACTTAATGCTTGTGTTATGGGTGCTAGTTTAACGGATATACTACTTATATACTTTTTTTTTTTAAATACATAAATATTGTACATAGTCACACCCAGACCCGTCACAGAAATTAAAATTCATCATTTCAATTTCTGCCCGGCCGGGAATCGAACCCGGGACCTCTCGTCATAGTAGTCCGTTCTAAACCACTACACCAAACGGCCGACAGATAGTGTTCCTCCACAGACTGCGGTCATAAGCTGTGTGGACCGCACGATGCAAACTCCCGCCCACCGTCTTCCTCACTGCGTCCGACCATCTCATCGGTGCCCTGCTCCGAGCACGTTTCATAGGTCGACATTTTACATCATAGGTATTGGCTCTGGCTCATATTTACAATCTCATCCAAACGATGCAGAAACGACACTATTTACTGAGCGAGCCCGTCAATCAATCGCGGCTTCAAAGTCTTGACTTATTAAATTTTGTATGAATTTGGGAACAAGGTATTAGGCAAGAAATTCCATTTGTGCTGTGCGCATAGGGGGTATGTCTAGGTGGTCTATTGTGAGTGTAGCTGGAATGATGGTAGCGAAATCAGAAGCTAATTAAATCGTAGATAAACCAACTAAATTCAATCAGAGTAACGAACTAAGAATTATGCGAAACGAAACGTCGACAAAAATGGCGAGACACTTTCATTGTAATACACGGTTGGCTGGCACGCTATCCAGCAGATAAACTATTGGGTATTGACAACGTGTGGCTAATTACCAATAATGCCACGCTCTGACTCAGATGATTCCGAAAAAAGAAATTAAGTGCGATAAATTCGTGAATGCAATATTAGTCCAGTCAATAAAGCATTATAGATGGAAAACTGTAGAACACAATTTCTGACTTCAGGACTTTATTTAGACTAGTTAGGAGGTGAACATAGCAAAAGTCCCCGCCCTTAGCCCTTGAGCCGGCGGGGAGAGGGGGGTTTAAAGGTGCCACTTTTCGGTTTTTCGCTTAATCCTCGGAAACTATCCGTCCTAGTGACATGACTCCTTTGAACCAAAAAAAGCATATTCAATTTGCTACAGGTGAGATAGACAAGTTTTTCTATAAATTGTATAGTTTTCGCGGCATCTGCTCTAGAAGGTCTGTTTTTGAACAGTCTGTTTTTGAATTTTTGAACGTCAATACCTACATAACCGTTTGAGGTATATTTATGAAATTTGAAGCTGATGTACATCTTGCAAGTCTCAATACATGAGCCAAATTTGAAGTGTTAATGCACAGTAGTTTTTGAGTGATGAGGAGTCAAAAGTGGCTCAAAGTGATTCGTCTAAATATACGCACGGTGTAGTCCCCTCGCTGGAACTAGGCTTAACATGCTCCCGCATGTCTAGAATGATTGCTCAATGTTGATTTAGTCGATTTTCTCCTGATGGGAACATGTAAGACAAAAATAAAATTTCCAATATTACAGACCTTCTAGAGCAGATGCCGCGAAAACTATACAATTTATAGAAAAACTTGTCTATCTCATCTGTAGCAAATTGAATATGCTTTTTTTGGTTCAAAGTAGTCATGTCACTAGGACGCATAGTTTCCGAGGATTAAGCGAAAAACCGAAAAGTGGTACCTTTAAACCCCCCTCTCCCCGCCGGCTCAAGGGCTAAGGGCGGGGACTTTTGCTATGTTCACCACCTAACTAGGCTAAATAAAGTCCCGAGGTCAGAAATTGTGTTCCACGGATTTCTCTCTACACCGTCGTTAAGGCATTCATTGACTGGACTATATAGACATTTTGCTGAATATAAATTTTCCTAAAAATATGTTGCTGCTGTACTGATGACGATAAAAATAACATGTTAAGTTTGAACATATCAAAAGCTGCATAATTAACACTGCCTAATTACAGTGCTTCTGAATGTGAAAGTGATTCTGAATGGAAATCCAACTTTAAACTCAGGGTTAACAAAAGCAAACGCTGACGCCATTCTCTAACACTCAATTTTACTATTAATGAAACACCTTAGACAAATTAAATTCGCTACAATTGACAAATTGTTAGGTATACGAGTACAACTTGTTTTCACTGGTCACTATTTCAACAAGTCAAAACAAACAAAAACTAAAAAGCAATTTCATCAACGGACCGGTGGGTACCTCTATTACCGTAATATTTTCATGTCACTGACTCAAGATAAGTGATTAGTAGTAAACAAGTCGGTGTACATTAGAAACCCATTAAACGAAAGTGATGATCATGCTGAATTACAGCAAAAAGTAAGCACAAAAACAAGCTTACTTAGAACATAATAATTTGTAATCACTTTCGTTGCAGACTCTCATTACGTAGAGGTTATTATGTAAATACGATAATTTATAAATCATTAGTTTTATTAAAGAACATAAAATGCAACTTCAGTAAAAAGATTCCTCTGGATTCTAGATCTTTTGCTATAATTATTGTACATATGTTTTGTGTATTAGGAACCGAAAGACCAAGACAACGTATTTAAATAAATAAAATGTACATACAGGAAGGAAAACTTTAAAACTAAGTCATTATAAAGAAAAACACTTTTATAAATCGCATTCAAATTCATTTATTCACACATCATTTAGTATAAATTGTACAATAGTACAGTCAATTGGCTAAAAAAATAAATAATTGGAAAGTTCATACAATAAATAAAAGATTGACGAAAATATATCAATCATGATTCTTGACTGCGATTGTACGCAATATAAGTTAGAGTTACTAGTCTTCAGGTAGGTACTCGTTCACTATCATTTTTTCACTGGTAAAAATAAGTATGAAAATATATTTCCGTCTTGCAAGTCAAATAAATAAAAACAAGAAATTTGTACATGGTAACATCACTCGCAAAATGTGCATTTACAATTCTCACATTATCACACAACTAAAATTAAATTAATCTACATTAATTTCATAAAAGTACTTTTACGTACAACAGATTTTAACTTAATCAACGTGCCTATTTGACGTGAAAATGAATGAAAACTAGTAAAATTCATTCGTTAAAAATCCATTACAAATAATAAGTAGGTATAAAAACTGTATATGGTTCAAAAACCTTGAATACTGAATTTGAAATTCTTAAGTTGAGATTCTTTTGAGACAAAATCATTTAGGATTTCATTATATTCGTATCAAATCCATAAATGTATATAAAATGTTACAAAATTACATATAAATCGCATCGAAAACTTCATATAAACGCCTAAGGCACCAATTACAAGCATTTTACACATCAAAATTGTAAAGAAGTAACAATGGTTACGTAATATAAGGCGTATTAATGTAAAACTTCTATAAAAAGTTCATTGTAAATTGTTTATAAAAGGGGTGTCATTTATTTAAGAACTGTCTGTGTATTTTCACACGCGTTAAAATCATTTTTCAGATCAGAGCCTTAGTTTTCATATTTACATAACTTTCCACTCAACCAAAATCTCATTTGTATGAGATTGCTTGCAATATAGGGGTCAAACTACATTGCAAGATCCACATAATTAATATAAATAAAATATACACTATATTTTAAGTTACGTGATGTGACATTTAAAATAAATAAAATACGAATTCATTCAGTACTTTCTACGCCTATAAATTATAAATATACATACATGCAGACATGCGTAAAAAGTTTTTTTTGATGCCGTCAGTACCAACACCTGGTAAACATTTTTGCTGTCGACGATACTACAAGAGTTCGATCGAGAAATATTTGATTAATATTAAAATTCGCTACCGACAATCAATTAACATCACGCAAGTTTTTAATGAATAACAATGCATTTCATCGCAGCACCTTCTAGGTGGATTACACAAACTCTATAGTTATCGTACTAGAGTCCAAAATAGCATAACTGGTTAATTACTGGGATAAGCATGTTAAAATTAATGTTTAATGTTATATTTAAAGTAAAACTACGTGCACTTAAAGTAAGCAATAAATAAACATCGGTGGATTAACTATTTAATTTGTACTATCACGCTGAGTGCGGAATGTTAGTAACGTAATCACATGATACATATTTAAAACTATGCCTAAGTTTTTCAACTAAGAGTTGCTATTGCAAAAAATTGTAAATAAGTAGGAGTGTTTTGTTTTATTATGGCTGTCCGATTTATAATAAGCAGATGGAGGTAAAGGGTATAATACCGGTACGGTACGTCTAATTTATTGGTCGTAATTGTACAAGTAGAATGTCAACGCCGCAGTGTGATTCCCTCTGATCAACAGTACCCTGTCAGGACGTTATGGCGTGAAACTTGGCCAGGTACAATACATCTTTACAAGAGCTAGTAAGACAGAGCGCTGACCGAACAGGATCGTGAGTGCTATTAAAAAAAGAGTTCAAAAAGACCTCTTTAAAAATTTCCAGTATTGATAAACATAAGATGTTACGGTCTAATTATAAGTAGAACGTCAACACAGCAGCCTGATTCCCCTTAGTCAGCCGTAGACTATGAACAGCGGACGCGATTGCGTGTATCCAGGCCAGGTATAGCGGCAGAGTTACTAATCAACACTAGCTAGTGAGACAGAGACTGACCGTACAGGTGTATTGTTCAAAAAACTAGATCAAAAAGACCGGTAAATTAAGCCGTCCTTAACAATTTGCACTATTGATAAGCTTAAGACGTTACCGTTACGAGTAGAACGTCAACACAGCAGCGTGGTTCCCTCTGATCAGTAGGACCCTATCAGCCGCTGACGCTATAGCGTGTAACCAGGCCAGGTACAACGGCGGAGGCACGACGCCACGACGTCGTGGCATGGGCAGCGTGACGCAGACCAGGCGAGCGCCGGCCGACTGTGCTGCGATGAGCTCTCGTAAGCGCAGGTGGCGGTAGGTCCGGTCGCGCGCTGCTAACAGGTCCGCCTCGGTTATACCACCTGGGTGACAAAATAGATAGGTATAGTCTTTATTACAAAGCACGACAGTAACACAATAACTGGCTAGTTGACACCAAAAATGTTTCTTTATGAGATCGAATCAGAAATCGGGAGATCCGGTGACAAACTAAAGTCGCTGATATAGCTACGGATTAGCGAACTAAAGTGGTAAGGGGCAGGGCACATAATAGTCAAACGATTCTGAAACGTCAAGTGGCAAAGGCTAGTTTCCTAAAAAAATTTTTTTAGTCCGTCATGTTTAATATAAAAAAATATTGGACACATATATTTTTATTTGTCAATCTAACAAATAATTACATAGTTATGGTGCGTTGAAGTTCCGCACGACGTCACAACGTGCGGCACTTTTATGCAAGCATTGACGTCACGGGCCTCTTCTTATGAACTTTGGCGCGTTTTATCTCTTTAAATTTTCATTAGTTTGAAAAAGTGAAAAATATGTGTAGAGTATTTTTTGATAAGTTAACTGACGGACTAATTAAAACTCTTGCTTTTTGACCCAGGAAACATCCCTAATGGTTCTGTGTTGTACAGCACACACAGTTCTATACACAGAACTGATGGCCGATGGGGCAACAAGGTTCTGGAGTAGGGATGTTGCGAATATTCGCATCCGCATCCGCATATGCGGAACATTCGCATTGATTTTGACATTCGCATCCGCATCCGCATCCGCATAAATCGACGAGGATCTGATGCGGATGCGGATTTGTAGCAGGTCGCGACAAGAAAGAAAGGGGCAGTCCCGGCGAGTGGCGCGCGTCAACCGAAGAATGTGTTGATTGACCAATAGGAAAGCAATGATTTTTGTTTTTGGACCTCAGTGAATCGGTGACGGTGCTGGCGCGTCTTTGTTTTGTTGTAATTACTAGTGAGTAGTTGTGACAAGTGACAAGAACTGAAGCGTACGTTTGATTTTATTGTGGTTTTTGTTAAGAACTCAACTGTATTGTTTAACGTAATACGTAATACGGAATACCTTCATACGTATTACGTACCTTAAGTAAAGTTTTATTTACTATTTGGATAAGTGAACTATGCCACCACCTACGCAAAGTGAAATTTGGACGTATTTCAAACCTGTGGACAACGACCGGGAGAAATCGCAATGTAAAATATGTAACAAAACATATTCGCGAAAGGGCCGAACAACATCGTCATAAAAGTTATTGTATACAATATGTAAATGATAAATCAGAATTGCATGGTTTTGTTGATGCCGACTGGGCAAGCAATTCTTTAGATAGAAAATCTTTTACTGGATATTGTTTTTTAATGTGTGGTTCTGTTATCTCTTGGCAAACTAAAAAACAGAGTACTGTGGCCCTGTCGAGCACCGAGGCAGAGTACATGGCAATTTCAGAAGCCTCCAGGGAAGCAATTTACTTGAGAAATTTGTTTATAGAAATTACTGGTGTGTCATGTACACTAAACTTGTTTAATGACAGTCAAAGTGCTCAAAAGTTGCTCAAAAATCAAATGTTATATAAAAGGTCCAAGCACATAGATGTGCGCCATCATTTTGTCAAAGATCTAATCACCAGCAATATAATTAAAGTTAATTATTTAGACTCGGGTAAAATGCCAGCTGATGTCTTAACAAAAAGTTTGCCATCTGTAAAACATTATTTTCTGTTGGAAAAATTAGGTTTATGTTTGTTGTGATTTATTAAAATGAAACATTTTGTTATAGAGGGGATGTTGTAATACAGATAACAAAATGTCTGACAGTGCTGCCACCTAGTGTATGTATGTGTAATGTGTACTAACTACGGGACGGGTTTGTCAAATAAATAGTAGTCTGTGCTGAACAACCAATGCGTTTTATTACTCTCCCTATTAGATGGGGCTACTTTAACAGATTTGAAATATTTTAGAACTTGTTCAGGTGTATCAAATTGTACAGCCTAAGCTCCCAATTTGATTGCACGGTCCTCAATTCCGTGCAAGATACAATCGACGGCTTTTTTTCCAAAAATCTGACATCTATTGAGCAAGTTTAATTTTTCATAGAAATAATTATCAAGTGACTCACCATAACGCGCTTTTAGAGATAATATTTCAGTTAGTAAATCTGCGTAATTTTCTCTACAAGGAAAGGACTCGATAAGTTTTGTTTTCCATTCGGACCAAGTAAAGCGGACACTGGGTAAACTCTGATACCATGTCTTGGCTAACCCTGTAAGCTTAGGGAGTGCATAGTGAATGGTTTCTCTTTCGTCCCATCCATAAATGTCGGCGCACTCTTCAACTTTCGTTATCCAACTTAACATTGTTTGCCTTTTTGAAAGAGGGTCAAACTCAGGTACAACGTTATTAACAGTACTAAGTTTATGAGAGCTTGTTTTTGAAATATCTTTGATAGCAGTAATGAATTGAGACAAAAGCAAACTAGACATATCATCATTATCGTACCTATGTCTACGTGACGAAGGTGGTGACAGCTCATCGCGACGATGACTCGATCTCTTCCTCGATTTTCTACTCCTCCGGCTGCACCGCTCCTGGTGACGCCCGTGGGTGGCATCAGAACTGTCGCTGCTGCTACTCCTCGATCGTCTCGAAAACTGAAAATGGCAAAGTTCTTAGCATTCGGATTACAAATATTTACTAAAATATAATCTCACTTTCAATTCATTGCGATAAAATCAGTCTGGTAGTGTGTATCGAGATTTTTGACTCATCGAGCCCTCATAATCAGTCATTATCGTTGCGTGAGGGTCTCAGAGTTTTCAGTTCTTTGGTAAAATCGTCTCAATGCCTTACCCGCCTGGCCCTCGAGTATCTGTCAGTATCATTGCGTGAGGGCTCAGGGAAGGATCTTTCGCTGCGAGAGTGAGGGGGTAGAATTATACTTCTACTCCTTGCCCTAGGCTTACGCCTCACATCATCTATTCCACTGGCCTCATCAATATATTTCTCTTGATTTAATGCCTCTTGGCTCGTCTTATCTGGATCGTTCATGCCAACACGTATCTGTAACTCAAAAAACATTATTAAAACATGTTCTAAATGCATTATTTAGAATGTATATAAATTAGACTAAAATATTATTATTCTTTTTACATTTTATTACATAGCACTATTGCGAAACGTAAATCAAAATTGTACATATGTAGGTGTTATCCAGCCTCAGGTATAAATAAAATATATCATTTTGTAGGGTTGAGTTTTTCGGCTGACAAGCGGGGTGAAGGGCTCCAAATAACAACACCGCGTTGTGATGCAAAAATGGGGTACCTACTTTATTGCAAAGTACGGGGCAGGTACAAAAATGAGGTGCGGGCGTCTCCCGTCCGTAGACCAATTCCCGCAAGGACGTTGGACACAGACGCGGGAGAATCGCTGGCAATTTGTAATTAGGCGTTCGGAAGTCCCAATCTGTGATTCCCCGAAAGAACGTCACAGTCGGATGCAACCTTGGCTTATTACTTACGCCTCACTGTTGGGTCTAATTCTCGTCACTACACTGCACAACTTAAAATAATTACGTTTTTTGTCGGTAAAAACGTCCTGGTGACGTCACTTAAGCATTTTTCTTATACTGCGTGCGGTCGTTGCGCGTGCGCACAAAGGAATAATGAGACCGCTCGGACACCGAGCCCACAGCGTGGTAGGGGTGGGGTTGCCCGCTCTTTTGTTTTTTACTACTACTACGCTGAATATTGTGTGCGGATTGGGTTGTCGTACAGGGGTACTACATGGTAAAATAAATCTCGGAGGCGAAAGCAGGATAATTAAATAAAAAATGATAAATAAGGCTGTGTTTCTTTCTCTACTAAGCCAACACTTAAGTTTTTTGTACAGATCCGCATCCGCATCCGCATCCGCGGATGTGAGCCTCTTAAAATCCGCATCCGCATCCGCATCCGCGGATGTGGAAAAAAGTGGATCCGCAACATCCCTATTCTGGAGTGCTCGGCCAGCATAAGACATCTACCCACAAGGTGGACAGACGACCTCATAAAAGTAGCAGGAAGGAAGTGACGCCAAGCTGGGTACATTGCATTGATATAAAATAGTATAACTACCGTCATCATTCGTATCGTCGGTGCTTCTAAAAGGCGCAATCAGCTTCTCGAAGTAGGCCAGCGTGGAATCGCGTGGCTTCTTCGTGATGTCCGAAACCATCTTCAGCGCAGAATAGTCGATGCGGAACTTCGACAGGAGAGACGCCATGCTGGAGAAATTACATTGTTGTTGAATATAAAATACAAGCATTTAGTCGACTTGAAAAAAGGAGGAGTTTTTGTTTGGTATAGTTCGTTTCATCCACGAAGACGCGCGGGGTAATGGAGCCTGATCCGACCAATTCGAGCGTCATGATTGTAGTGTGCGCGCGCACTCACGGACAACTATCCAATGACGTTTGGATTGGTCGGATCAAACTCCCCGCACCCCCCGCTTCAATCTACCCCGCGCGTCTTCGTGAATGAAACGAACTATTAGTATATCTGAATTTAATATTTTCACTATACTTTAAAAAAAGAGGAACTTCTCAACTAAAAGTAAAAATATAATTTATTCAGAACAACAAACTGTACAGGTAATTTACAAACTTAAAAACTCAACTAAAATAAATTTAGTAGGTAGTTAAACTATTAACAGAAATAACACATCCAGTAATAATTAAAGGAAGTAAATAAAAAATGGGACAAAATAGTAACCGAAGGTGTCGAAAGCCTGGCCGAATGACACTTGACAAGCTGTCAAAGTGCAGGGTATAGATGAACTAAAATGAACTGTCCCACCCGTGACATTGACAGGGGGCGCCCCCGTCAGTACCGGATTGCTGGTTCCGATTTTTGCCACGTTGAAAACTATAATTGAACGATGGTGGCGCCCCCTGACAATGTGTTTGGTGGGACAGTTCAGTCAGAGTAAATACAAATGAGTAGGTCATCTTCATAGAAACGCACCGAGCGCGGTTTGTATGTGAGCGCGCCAATACGTATGCGGCGCGCACGCACACACTGAAGTTTCTATGAAGATGACCTACTCATTTGTATTTACTCTGGTTCAGTGTAGTTGTTGTGCGACAGTTCAGTGTAGTTCATCTTTAACGAACTTTCGCCCAGATTAATTTGTAAAGGGGTACTTACTTCCTCTCCTCGAGCTCAAGCTCGGTGTTCTTGTTAGCCAGTGTGAATACGCGCAGCGGGCAAGACGCCCACGCGCGTCTCGTGGATAAGATGTATGGCAGCAGCAGCGTCAGCCCTACAACACAAGCCATAATGGACTTTATTTTATACAGCAAAAGGCAGGTATTTGACTGCAATCACACTTGATGCTAGGAGATGCAGTGTAGGACATCTGCATAGAAAATAAATGCATATTCGCTCTCACCTAGACGAGGCCCAAATCGTAGTGTTCGGGAGAGATAGCAGCAGTAACAGTACAGTATACTGTATATGAACATTTAATTTACAAAAAATGGGAGTGGGCCCAACTAATAACCGTTGAAGCGGAAATATTTTAAAGTAGCGAACACGAACGAAGACCTAATGTAGGCAGAGCTCCCTTCAATGTCACTTTAGGGATTTTAATCCAGTGATGGTCACGGGAAGAACCTGGATGCGGACAGTACAAGACCGATCGTTGTGGAGAACCTCAGGGAAGGCTTTTATCCAGCAGTGGACATCCTTTGATTCTGACGAACAGCCGAGACGAGTCAAGCTGTGTTTACCTGTAGAGACACATCTTTTGCTCATGTCAGCATTGCATGGATTTATTTGTTTGTGTAAAGATAAGAAAATTAAATGTTGTTCGTAAATCTTATTTTTTATCCACAACGAGGAAGCTCTTGGCCTGTGTCTCACCTGATGGTAAGTGATGATCTGGCCGAAGGTGGAAGCGAAGCGAATCTATTAAATAATAATAATAGCACCAATCAGCAATTCAACATACCTCCGTCATCATAGAGCCACCACACGTCGACAGTGCCGGCCTGACGCTTCGTAAACTGTTCCACGGACGTGAAGGAAGACGCACGACGCGCGGGAGACCCGCCCAATGCGCGCCGCACAGCACTACCTAGGCCGGTTTTCCTGAGCACACTGATTTGATATTAATAGAAACATCTAAAAGGATGCTTAGAAAAATGAAATGAAATATCACACAGTAATATCGGCAGAGAGCGCCATGCGGGAACCACAAGCAATAAAGTATTTAGTAGTTATTCTATTCAAATAACACGTAACAAAGTTCAGAAAAACATTTAAGTACTTATAATAAACAATTTCACTTAGGAAAACTACGTACTACTACAAAGTTTTGTATATGAAAAGGAAAAAGGGAGAAGGATCAAAATATTCATAAATTACTAGTTTAAAACAATAAGCCAGATAAAAAGAAAAACGAATTCGCATCTACGACATCAGAAATGTATGAAATAAAACAAAAGATACTGGAGCACTTCATTAACAGGAAAGATCCACAAATCTATTATTAGCAGCAACTTATAAATAACTAGTCAAAATACCTCTCTTTCTCCTCGGTCTTCGCTGGCTCGTCGGCGGCGAGCGCGCCGGGGTCGGCAGACACGCCCGCGCGGCGCAGCTGAGGCGAGCCCAGCGACACGTCCGACAGACTGCTGCCTGCACCATATCCGTGATAACAAGTTAGAAGTTGTAGAAGAAACCATGCTGTAACTGCGGTTACTGCAGTGAGTATGCAGTGCAACCAACTGAGATGGTATGTCATATAATTTATACAGTGTGTCCGGGCATGTAGTGATCAAATTTTATGGGGCAAATCTAGGGACAATTTTATCGATAAAAATACTTCAAATTTGGGGCTTGACCCATTTATCGCAAAATTACAAGGATTTAAGTTTTTAATTTTTAGTTTTCACCTCTTCCTTCAAAAACAAGTGAAAGCGTGGGTAGCTTAACATTAATAAGCAAATATTTTATATCATGCGATAGCCAGTAAAATTATCTATTAGCAAAAGTAGAAAACAGATACAAGTTTCATACATTTTAAGGGAGTAAGAATGGATTTAATTAGAAAAAAACATGACTTTTTTCACTTCTTTTTCAGTTATTTTCCAACACAAGAAAAACCAGGTCGTTAAGGTATGTTTTATTTGCATTGTATTATTAGTATTTGAGCTATTCTACAAAACGAATGTAAATTTATTAGTTTTGCTTATTAGTGTTAAGCTACCCACGCTTTCACCTGTTTTTGAAGGAAGAGGTGAAAACTAAAAATTAAAAACTTAAATCCTCGTAATTTTGCGAGAAATGGGTCAAGCCCCAAATTTGAAGTATTTTCATCGATAAAATTGTCCATAGATTACGCCCTTAAAGTTTGATCACTACAAGCCCGGACACACTGTATACTAGCCCACAAACTATTTCTAAAACGAAGAGAAGGCGCGGATGAACACGATTCGTATAACTACGAGGGGCGGCTGAAAAGTTTTGAGCCTAAGTATCTTCAAGTGCTATTATTGAGTCGCTTTAAATTTATTTAATTTGCCAATAATCTCCTTAGTATATGTACAAAGTTTCATTTCATTAGCGTCATCGCGCTTTTAGTAATTAATCAGTAAACATCATCATGTCTCAGTCATCCGCGCAATGTACGAAATCGAAGTACACAGTTGCCATAAAACTCCTCAAAAAGAGGAACAAAACGCTGACGGTAACATTTGAAGAGATGTCTACAGTTTATGGGGAGTCTGGGCCTTCATTTGCCATCATGAAATATTGGATCCGATAGTTCAAGCATGGCAGGGAGTCGCTAAAAGATGACCGCAAGTCAGGGCGGCCAGATTTCGCCATTAACGAATAAAATAATGAAAACTTAAAAAATCTTGCTTTAGAGATCAGCGAATTAAGTTGTGACAGATAGCTGAAGCCATAGGCATTAACAAAGAACGTAACGGCGATATTTTTCATACTCATTTGCACATGAAATAGGGGTGCGCGCGATGGGTGCCAAAAATGCTCTCGCCGCTCGACAACCAGCGTCGAGTCACAACTTCGCAGGAGTTTTAGGACATCTTTGACAATAATCCTAACAAATTTTTTTCTCACATTATCACTATTGATAAATAATAGATCCGGCAGTACGATCTAGAGTCAAAATAAGAGTCACTGCAATGGATTCAAAAGGGAAAACGCTGCCGCGGAAATTCAAAGTGGAGCGATCGACACCCAAGCTCATAGCCACTATTTTTGGGATTGTGGAGGAATTTTATTCATTGACTACCTACTTAAAAAAAACTACAATAAACGGGGATTATTATGCTGTACTGTTGATAGGAGTGCGTCAAGTGGTTGTTGAAATATTAAGAGGCAAACTGGCGAAAGGAAATCTGTTACTGCAAGACAATTCAACCGCGCACACCGCGCATGTTGCATGGCTTACCCCGGGTAAAACTGGATTTTAAGAAATTAATCACCCACCACACAGTTTAGTCCAATTCTCTAGCTATTTTGTCTAATTCTCAAATTGAAAAAAAAACCTCCAGGAACAAAGATTTTTGAATGACATAGAAAGGAAAGCGGCGTTAAAGGCTCATTTCGAGGGCAAAGATTGCGAATTTTTTTTCAGTGGGTTAAAAGCTCTTTTACACAAATGTAAGAAGTCCGTTGTAGTAGAGGGAGATTAAATAGAAAAATATATTTTTTACACTTTTCTATCGGCATTTTTAATACCCTAGGCTCAAAACTTTTCAGCCTCCCCTCGTATGTAGTATGGTGTTAATTTACAGACGACAGCACATCAAACTACGCATTTTTGTTGCAAATTCGCATCTATTACGACTGCATAAGACCCAACAGTGTTTATCTTGACATGCCATCGTCTGTACTTCAAAGTACTTCAAATGTTAATCTTTAATAAAAATCACGATTCAGAGTTCAGCTATAGCACACAATTTTCGTGAAAAATCAATTATAATAATTAAGAACACTTAATTTAATAAAAATGAAATAGCAGTTAATAACCAACTGTTACAAAACACAACAAACTTACTTTTAAACATCAATCATATTCATTGTATCAGTTCACACTCACACCTTTAAACATTTCATAAAAAAGAACGATTATATTAATAGTGTATTGTAAAAACGCAGATCACAACTCTAGTGCCAGACTTTAACTTGCATCCGAGATTGATTCCAAGTTAACCAACGTCTATTCGATGTCAAAGGCTGATTAATCCAATTGATACTATAAAAAATCAGTTCTACTCTATAACTTTGGATCTAAAAATGTTTAAAAGTCAGGAAGATGACGTCACACAGGACAAGCGTACTCACCCACAGAATGCGTGGTCAGACTCTCAGTAGACTTGGACTCCTTGAAGTTGTCGCCCATGGACCCTGGGGAAAAACTCCCTGTTATGGCGCAGCGTGGAATGGAACACAATTACACGTATTAATACAATACAAGAAGGGTTTAGTATCGATATGCTGGTGGGGATTTGTTATTTTACAAACAAAAATAATTGATTTGTTGAGATGCTTGCAAAGTACGGTCAAATGACTGCACGCGAATTAAGTCCGTATGCAGAGGTCACACGATGCATACTTTAGATCAAGTCGCGCGTAGAAAAAAATATAATATTATCACTAATATGTATCTCCCTCATGGCATGGGTATGCACTACGTCGCTAACTATGCAAGCATCGCACATAAATTTTGTTATGACAAATAAAATAATTGAGTGGCATCATTTAGAACACATTTTAGCTGCTAAGCAGTTTTACGAGTATTTTTCAACAGTTTACACAATTTTACTGATTTTTACTAAAATCTATAACCACCACCTCTTTATTCTACCAAGTTAAAAAAAGGATCGTTTATATTACGCTATAATGACGTCATCATCATAGCGCGTTCAGGTAACGGAGTGTAATCACGTGACACGCGCACCGGCGTGACAGTTCAATTACGTGACATAGCACAAGAGTGACACAGTACTCACGTGACATAGCAGAGGCGTCCTTCACGTTGACGTCACGCAGGAAGGCTTGCAGGTCGTCGTCCAAAGCGTCGGCGGTGTACTGGCCACCTTCTACGTGCAGCAGTGCAATAGCCATATGCATGTCGAGCGCTTTGCTGGAATATTACACTTATTTAAGTAAGGCATAAAGGGACGGTTTATAAATACGGCGTGCAGAAATGAAATAAAAACTTGACAGCTGGTTTGGTTTATTACTAGTGAGTGCGGGGCGGGGTGTGTTCCAGCGTGGATCTCGCAATCGAAACTGACACCAAAACTCTATCTATGATTATTACTCATTTACTATATGCAGTTTTTATGGGTAGGTAATTGAAACCGTTACCATTAACCTATAGTGGCTTTTAGTCCCCATTAGAAGAACAAAGAGCCGCTAACATTACTTTTCAGTTTGCCTCCTTTTAATTTTAAAAAGCGCCCAAAAAGTTTTCTGCAGCTTTTAGTTTGCCAACTTTTTTCTGATGTATAACCCTAAGCCCTAAGCATTTCATTTGAATTATTTTTTCTCGATTCCGTATTTTTGAGTGTTGTAAATATAAGATCGCGCTCGCACTCACTGCGGGTGCCCGTCGCACAGTCGCGACAGCAATATAATTACGCGCGAGCGATAAGGATGGGTAGCTTGGGGTCATTGGATAAAATTCTACGCACTCACAGACCGGGCTTTAGATGCCGCAGTATCGGCCGTACATTTCATAAGAGTGGTAGACCATTACTCACTGCATGACTTCTACGTAGTCGATGAGCTCGGCTCGCGCGCAGCTCTGCCAGTCCTCCTTGAAGCCCATCATCAGGATGTTGGGCCGCAGCTTGCCGAGCCCACTTGACTGTCAACAATCATATTATGAGTACATCGGGTTTGTTATGCGAATATTTTGATTATATCCGAACCCATTCAGCTGTTGCGTCTCGTACATCTTTGGAGAATGTAATCGGTTTTTCTATATTGAGTATCGTGTCCTAGTATCATACTGCTTACCAGAATATTATGGTGGAAAGATTACGAAAACTTTTTCAGTATTAGAGGCTACCTAAACGTAGACTTTTTTCGTGTCGGGGACCATTACAGAAAACCGAGTCGTTGTGTCCTATTGACTATGCATCAAGTGGAAGCAAATAGTATCTACGCCTGCGCAGGAAGTGGCTGATTCCATTTTGAGTTTTATTAGCATACTAGCGGCCGCCCGCGACTTCGTACGCGTGGACCCCGTTTTACCCTTAGGGGTGAAGTTTCGAGTTTTTTAGGGTTTACCCGGAAATTATTCAAACTTTTCTCGCTGTAAAAACCATCCTTGGACTTCAACAAACATTTAAAAAAAAGAATTGGTAAAATTGGTCCAGGCGTTGTTGAGTTATGCGCTTACCAACACATTTTGCGATTCATTTTTATATTATAGAAGAAGATGTACAAAATTAACTGCGATTGCGCAGCCTCGCCTAAAGAATTGTTTCTTAACCTGTGGGCTGAGTGTGAATTTGCATTAAACGTCAGCACGTTAAAAAAATGTTTGAAAAATTTAGTTCTAGAAAGTTTCCACTAGGGGCGCTGTACAATCCGTCATACATTTAATGTCTTTTTTTTTCGCGCTCGCTAGTGACGGCGTTTGATGTAAACTCACACTAAGGCCTATGTGGTTGCGAGCATGTGTATGGGGTCCGTAACCTCATCTGTGGACTATTTAGCAATCATAAATATTGCTGTTCTTTTTATTATTATAATAATAAATAATAATAATATAATCATTTATTTGCAAGAACATGGTTACAGATTGGTGTTAATTTAGTTAATTCCAGCATATTCTGTCGCATGCGATGTGCAAAAGTTCTTGATCTTAAAGTTATGTTAATTATTATTGCTACATTTAGTCTTAGATTTTACATATTTTTACAACTCAAAATACTTATATTACTCATAATTGTTTTTCATATACCATGACAGTAACAAGTTATAGTATTAAGAGGGTCCTTAAAATAGCTTGATTTCCTAAGGGGCTGTGGACAAAAAAGGTTAAGAAAAGCTCTCTAATGCACTTTAGTATCAGTTACCTGCATGAGCGCACTGGCGCCGTCCTTGAAGCCGGCGTCGTCGACGAGGCCGTAGAAGGCCTTGATCTTGCGCTTGGCGAACCAGCCGTACGCGCGGCTGCTTAGTGCCTCGCGCGCGCGGTGGCTGGTCTGGCCCTGCACATGCACAAAATACTATTACCTCCCAATTACGATATTAAAAACACAAAAGCCGGACTCGGTGCTTAATTTGGCCGGACATTGCACCCTAAAAGCCGGACACACCTTTTTTTCATGTCACGTTGGGCTTACGTATCATAGGTCATGAGTGAGTACATTGTTTTCATTTCAGCCAAATGACGTCCACTGCTGGACAAAGGCCTCCCCCAAGGTTTTCCATAATGAACGGTCCTGCGCTGCCCGCATCCAGGCTCTTCCCGCGACTTTTACCAGATCGTCGGTCCACCTAGTAGGAGGCCTGCCCACGCTACGTCTTCCAGCCCGTGGTCGCCACTCGAGAACTTACCTGCCCTAACGGCCATCGTCTCTAAGAGCTATGTGCCCCGCCCACTGCCACTTGATTTGAGTGAGTACATCTTATCTTCGAATCGGTGAATCGGTAGCCTAACATCCTGATACGCGCATGTGTGCTCTATATTATTACATAACTCGACTTTCGACTGGCGCGGCAGCCAAAAAAGCCTAACAAAAGCCGGACAAGACAATATTTGGCCGGACAAGTCCGTAAAAAGCCAAACACACCTGGCAACCCTAATACGGGCAGCACAAAACAGATCATTTTGAAAATCGTTAGGGGAAGCCTTTGTCCAGCAATATTAGGTATCTTTTGGTTGAGACGAAGTAACAAACCATCATTCCAGACAGTTGACAGTCTGTATAGTCGATTGGGAAGAGATGGACTTTCGACTCGGCCAAAATTAACAATTCATTTTCTTTATAAATAAATAGAATGTCATTTTAGATAGTAATTTTCGTGAAACTAAAGTACGATACAAACCTGTATTATGTGACCGCAAAGCATCAACGAGAGTCCCTTGGTAAGGAGATACGAGAAATCAGTCAAGATGGGTCTTTCTGCAGGATAGCCGGTCAGCACCAGAATTTGAGGTCTGGAACGGAACATATACAAAAAGTGATGTTTACAATATTTTAAAATCACAAATTAAGTGGAATACTATGCAGATTAAAAACATGGAGTATCGGGTAATTTCAGTCAAGGTTACCTGTAGTTTTTGACGTGATCTGTGATTTTGTTCAAATGATGGACACCAGATAGGGCCGTCTTGTACGTCTGCGCCTGAGTAGTTGATCCCCAGTTTACATCTGATAACAAATAAAGTACAAATGTGTAGGTCCAGTTTTTAATTACTGACACTGATAAATTAACAGCATAAAAATCATTGTTTTGGACGAAAGGCGTGCTCCAAACGTGTCGGTCTATATGAGAACGTTAAGGCGATTAGTGTCCTCAATCCGCGCTAAATGGGCATTTTGTAAAGCCTACTCCTCTTTTACTGCTGGACAGAAATAGTTGAAAAAAATGTATGTTATACAACAGTTCAAGGACTACATTTGTGACGTTTGAATTTTCGCTACGTGTCTTGTTTTGGATTAAAAAAATAAATACGGGACATCGATTTTTTACTTAAATTCCCTACTCCTCCAAAATGGCTATGTTAATTTAAAAGATTTTTGCACGAATAGATTGGGAATTCTTTAATCTTTAAATGACACGTTGCGTTTTTCAATCGAACATTACTTTCATTCATAAATTTTACTTTTGATAAATTCCGAACGTTTTGCTGTTGAGGGGGCCTTCGCGGGGTGCGGGCGGCAGTCGGCCGCTGGCCTTCAGACGGGGAGGTTGTGTCACTCGCTACAAACTGACATTAGCGATCAAAATGAATTTTTTCTTTGGCTAAGTTGCACCACCTGACGTGACCTAACTTTGACCGTAGCTTTGGCGATAACCGGTGTTTTTTGTATGGAGTTAGACAGACTTTTGACGCTTGTCAAAGTTGAAGTAAGATGGTGCAACCCAGCTTTTGTTCGACAATAGATTTTATGTCAGAATTGTTCATAGAGTACGTGCAGTCAGACGATACAATTGAATTATGACGCGCTCAGACGCTATTTTCTACCTGAATAGAATCTATTAGTGTAAAAAAACTATAATTGACTCCAAAACAACTGCACTAGATAAATACAAGTAGAAAAATTATTACGTTATTTATTTACTAGGCCTTTGCAATCAGTATCCAAATTAGGAGCTAGTCAGAATCTGTAACTTAATCGATTTACGTGAAGAAAACAATTTATATTTTTCATACTTATTAGAATTAGATTTTAAATATGTTTCTTCGCGAAAATACCACAATTAAAAATAACACCTGTAACGCCCCTGGGTCTGCGGGTGTCTATGGGTGACGGTAATCATTTACCAACAGGTGATCCGTTTGCTCGTTTGCCTCCTGTCAGTCCTGTCACATTAAAAAAAATTAAGATAAAGTGGTATTGAATTGTTCTATAGAGCTTATTAAAAATTTGGATACTCATTACAAAATTAGCCATTTTCGGAGTCGGTGTCGGTGTCCTACCTTTTGGTGATTCGTTTTGGAGTTGGTTTTAATTTTTAGTGAAATTAATCTATTTCATGCCTTTAGTAGACTATAGGTACCCAGTAGACCTTGTTGTTGCCACTGAAGGTGCATAGGTACTCAGTACATTGATACCATATTTTTCATGTTAAGTGCAAATAAACTTCCCTAAATTACCAAACCATGAAACGTACCTATATTATTAAAAAGTTTCGCAGATAAAAACTGAAATCCTCTTATAAGGTGATGAATTTTAGGAGCATGTCATGAAACCAAAATTATTAGCATACAAGAGCTTGTTTTAAAAAAATCTTTTTATTTATGATGGGGAATTTACTGCGGCGTAGTAGCAGAGATTTTCCGTTTGTAGATCGTATTAATTTCGAAGAATAGGGATGTTTCGTGGATAAAGCAAGAAAGTAGCAAGAGTTTGAATTAGTCCGTCGGTGAACTTACCAAAAATAACTCTAAATGTATTTTTCACTTTTTTAAACTTATGAAAATTTAGAGATGAAGCGCACCAAAGTTCAGAAGATGAGGCACATGACGTCAAGGCATGCTTAAAAATGTGGCGATTTGTGTCGTCACGCGGAATTTCATCGCATCATATCTTAGTAATTACTTGTTTAATTGACAAATAAAAATATCCTGTGTCCAATATTTTTTGATAATGTAAAATTGACGGACCAAAAGTCTTTTTTAAAGAAACTAGCCTATTCCTATGGCCACATTCCAGCTCCATCATCAGACCCTGCAGTTTACCTTAGAGAATTGAAGACTCATGATTTTCAAAGTAGCGTACTTATATAACATTAGGTACTTGCTTATACAGGGTGTCCCAAAAACAATGGATAACCCTTCAACCATCAATAGGCCTCGCCATGGTTTCCCTAACGTCCAATTTTGACCCCAGTAAAAATATCACCGTTTTCAAGATTTTTAAGTTTTTGTGCATTTTTAGAAAATTGTAATGAAATTATTTAGGTATAATAATAAATAAATACAAATCAAACGAGCCTAAACTCGATGGAATCGTTTAATCCCGGAGTTGCTATGGGGCCACTGGCATTCCAGCTCTACCATCAGATCAGCTCCATGTCATCACAATATTGAATTGTCACCCGTATTACATGTATATCCGAAATTTTAACTCAATCAATTGATGAAGGATTTCTAATAAAAACCAATAACTTTTTAAAAAAATAAAACCGACTTCAAATGCGTGAACACAAAAAAAAACTAAAAATTAAAAATATTGCGTATAAAAAGTTCATCCCCAATTTTCCACCCTTGGGGGTGAAATATTTTCTTCAAATTCGCATGAAACCACCCTTTTGATAATACCTATTCAACAAAAAAATAATCGTTCAAATTGATTTATAATCGGCGGAGATATTGCGTATAAAAAAGTTCATCCCCAATTTTCCACCCTAGGGGGTTGTTTTTGCTATTATTAAATTTAAATGGGACCACCCTTGAGGTATTATCTATACGCCGAAAAAAGATTTGTTCAAATCGGTTCACAATTGGCGGAGTTATCGCGTAACAAACATAGAAAAAAAAAACATACGGGTCGAATTGAGAACCTCCTCCTTTTTTTTGAAGTCGGTTGAAAAGACAAATACATTTTCAGTTTATTCTTCATAAGTGACACAGAGAGAATGACAATAGACAAAAGCAGAAACATTTGCTTTTTTAGGCCATAGACAATACTAGGTACTAATGCGTTCCAATATGGATGATGACTGGGTAACGAAATCGAAATTCTTCTTCTTCTTTATTTGTTGATGGCGATGGACTTGTGTTTTTTCGCCACTGGGGGCACACTGTTCCGCCAATGTCACGTGCGCAGCTTTTACACAATGTTATGAATCGAAATTCTATTTAGTCCGTCAGACAGATAAATTAGAAAAGATTAGAATATTTTTTTTATTTTTTTCCATAATCGAATAATTACAGTATTATATTGAGTTAAAATGTCGCGTGACGTCACATTTGAGTAAAAATTCTACTCAAGCGTGGCGTATCGCGCCATTTCAACTCGATGTAGCACTGTTATTATTTAATTATGAAAGAAAATAAAAAATATGAGTCTAATATTTTCTAATTATCTGTCTGACGGACAAATAATTGAAATTTTGTCATCTAGCCTAGTTGTCGTCAGGAAGTTGGTCTAACTAATTCAGCTTGCAAGATTCCACCCGAACAAACATTTATGTAATTACCTACATAGGTACATCATAAATTGCAAGCTAAATAAAAGCTTGTAATAAAGTCGGGTTTGTTCAAATTTCGAGAACGACTGAACCGACAAAAGCATTAGAAAATTTACAAAAAATAAAATAAAATTTTATCCCGCACAAAATGTTCATGGATTTTGTTATTTTTATTAAATACCTTTACGCCTGAGTTAAATGACACCGACATCAAGGTTCATCAATTTAAGTTTAAAATAATAGGCAGTAATGTATGAAGAAAGAGCTTCTATTCTGTATCTACCTATGCCCGTGTATTTTTGATCGGTGTCAAATCGGAGTTTTTGGTGCGGGGTGCGCGGGTGTTGCTCGCGGCGTGAAGGTCAAACGCCCAAGGTCATTGAGGACTCTAATCGCCTTAAAGTATCTTTGGAGTGGGTCTTTTGTAAATAAAGCGTGGGACACACCCGCACGCTCCACGTCGAAGACCTTATTCACCACGCGGTTTATGAGTGGTTCTCACTGGCGAGGCATTGAGGTGGTGATCGTGTTGCTATGGTTCGATGCAAACTGTCAGAGAACTGCCCAGCAATCTATTGTTTTAAACTTTCATGGTCACTATCATAATTATTATTATTGACGGGATTGCTACCATGTACCTTAATTTTGAGTTTCCGATATTTCGGCACTATTGCAAGCGCCATGGTCACAGAGTAACTGAGGAAACTTGCGGGTGAGATGTTATGGGCAGACATATCGGTCTACCCTCTTTCGCAGTCTTTTATTACGATTGCCCCCCGTACCACCGTTCACCAACTTGCATGAACGACCATGGCGCTTGCAACAATGCCGAAATATCGGAAACTCAAAATTAAGGTACATGGTAGCAATCCCGTCAAAAACAATAATTATGCCCAGCAATCTGTTTTAGCGTAGGCCCTAAACTGCAGAAGATACCATGAAACGCCTGTACCCCTACTGAACCAGTTTGCCCCCTCTGGCTCAGAAGTCACACCCAGCTTTACAAATGTCACTCACCAGGCTTCCTATAAGACACGAGCAGATACAGCGCGAGCAGACACGAGAAGGTGATGAGCGCCGTGACCCACGAGATCAAGAACATGATCACACACACCATCGCACCAACCAGCGACAGCCACATGTTGTATAGTTCCAAAATACTGAACTGTCCTATCCATGACATTGACAGCGGGGCGTCACCGTCAATACCGGATCGCTGGTTCCGATTTTTGCCATGTTGGAAACAATTTAGTTGAACGATGGTAGCGCCCCCCTGTCATTGAGTTTGGTGGGACAGTTCAGTGTGGGTCATGTATACAACGATACGCCCAGCTTATGCAACATTTTCACCACCTTATTCTCTACCATTCTCGTGCGTCTTCCTTCTTTTTTTTTTTCAAGCAAGAGCTGAAAATTAGTGTTCTGCTCATTTTAGAGCAGTGTCTACACTGAGCTCTCTGCTTTTTTGCATCGCTGCGGCACACTTATACCTTAGGGCGCAGGATTTTCTTTGTTACTCTTTGTAATGTACTATATCTTTCCTGCTACTCCTGTGTTTATTAATCTTACTTTTTGCTTCTTGTGTGTCAATGTGTTTTGCAAATAAACCATTTATCTATCTAAAGCCTGGTCCGTGAGCACGTAGAATTTTGTCCAATGACCCCAAGCTACCCATCCTTATCGCTCGCGCGTAATTATGTTGCTGTCGCGCTCGCACACTCACTGCGGGCGCGCGTCGGACAGTCGCGACAGCAATATAATTACGCGCGAGCGATAAGGATGGGTAGCTTGGGGTCATTGGACAAAATTCTACTTGCTCACGGACCAGGCTTTATCTATCTTATGTAAATGTGACTCACCAGGCTTCCTGTAGGACACGAGCAGGTACAGCGCGAGCAGACACGAGAAGGTGATGAGCGCCGTGACCCAAGAGATCACGAACATGATGCCCACACACACCATGGCGCCAACCAGCGACAGCCACATGTTGTACAACTGTAAGACAATTTGCAGATGATTGATTTTAAACTCTATTGCATGGACTCAAAGTACTGTTTAGAACACATAAGACTGCACATTTTTGCTGCATAATTTGCTATCAATGAGGGTTTTCGCGATTGAAAAATCCGCCAGATGGTAATACGTAGACGCGAAGTCCAAATGCTGCATGATTGGTTATTTTTTACATGTCATTGACAGATATGTCAAAATCCACCAATCACACAGCAGTCAGACCCCACATCCACGTCCCGCCATCTAGCGGATCTTTCATACGCGAAAACCCTCATTGAAAGGGCTGGTAACAGTTTTACGTCCGTATTCACAAACGATACTTGCTTAAGTGTAGCAGCAAATGTAACGGACAGCATTGAATAGAGGTCAGTGATTGGTTCGTGTGTCACCCTATGCGTCCACGCGCACTGTGAGACTTCATAGTAATTTGTGAATACGGCGGCTAGTATCCCACATAACCCACTGGTCGTCCTCATAAACCAGTGAGTATACGCAAAGCATCTAAATATAACTCAAAGGTGACTGACTGACTGACATAGTGATCTATCAACGCACAGCCCAAACCACTGGACGGATCGGGCTGAAATTTGGCATGCAGGTAGATGTTATGACGTAGGCATCCGCTAAGAAAGGATTTTACGAAACTCCACCCTTAAGAGGGTAAAACGGAATCCACGCGTACGAAGTCGCGGGAGGCCGCTAGTTTCCTTATAAAAAATAATATACTCGTTATTTTGGTTTAAATTGTATGCCTTTTATTATAATTTATTTCTTTAGTGTCGACACCGCCTTCCCCTTCATATTTGTTTCAAGTAACTGTCCTCACCATAGGTTGTCTGGAAGAGATCGCTTCATAGCGATAAGACCGCCTAATTGTACCTTGTGTGTTCCTTTTCTTCTGTTATGTTATTTGTTTGGTGTGCAATAAAGTGTATTTATTATTATGTTTGTACGCTTTGGAGCTCACGGGTCAAAAGTGGCCCGGTCCTTTATAAGGCTTGCGTGGGGATACAGATCCAACACGTAGAGGCCGTTTTAAGCGCAAAATAATCGACAAAAGTGAAAGTGGTGCACATACTGGATCTAGTCTCTGACTATATCATGGGATGTAGCCAGAGGCCATCCCCAGCCTGTGCACAGGAGCTATTGCAGTTATTGGAGAATGGACTAGGGTTATGGATGAAGGATGGATGGACTGGTTACTGGGCTATGGATGGAGACTACGGGACACCTGCCTGGTTCATAGTCTCGGACTGAAAAAATGGCAGGCGGTGACTAGCCAGCGACTAAATGGCCCCCCCTGGCGTCATGGGTCGTATAGACCGGACTGAGGGGCAACATTGGCGTCTGCCAGCGTTTATTATTATTATTATTATACTCTTACCCTGAAGGTAGGCCTCCATCCCACCGGCTTGGCGAGGCTGGCGTGGAACGTTGAGAAGTTGATGAGCGCGTATGCCGCCAGAAAGAAGTTGGAAATCAAAGGCGCGATCTGGTTCAAACCGCCTGCAAATATAAACGCAAAATATTTAGAAATATTTGGTGTTATTATACTAATCATCGAGTCATTCAGTAACTCAATAGAGTAAATGGATATTTAGGCCTACAATCCTCGCGCTAACCAGATGGGTTGGCGATGCCTGACATTCGCATTTGTCCTTTGGTTGCCCACTGGAAAAGTGGGGGGCTGGTATTTAACTCCATCCTTTCCTTTGGTCGCCTCTTACGACACGGGAAGAGTGGGGGTAGTCCTATTATACTCCACCGGAACCATACGGCCTACTAAATTAGTGTAATTTTTAAATCAATCTAATCTACTCCACCTTCATTTTTTCATCTTCCATCTTCCTCCAGAAGAATATTACTTTTGCAGTGGAGACAAAATACATGACCTAATGATGATGATGGTACGAAATTGATGCAGACTGTAAGAAGTACTCACCCATTAGTATAAAGGCAGTCGCAATGAGGAACGTGAGCGCGTATCCGCGCACCGGCTCGTTGTTGGCTCCGTAGCCCTTGGCGAAGAACTCTAGGTATGGATACAGCTTGTCTTGGCACAGCGCCTGAAATGGATAGCATTACAAAATAACTTACTATTTACAAGGTATTAAACTAGTTTTATACCTTTTTTTTTTATGCAGAACAAGATTAACAAGGCAGGTATTTGACCACAATCGCACCTGATGTTAAGTGGGATGCAGTCTAGGATGGTTCATATCTGCCCTGTAAGTGCCTATAAAGTAATCGGATTATAGTCTTCGGGAAAGACAGCAGCAGGCAACGAATTCCAGTCTCTAGCTGTTCGCATTATAAAAGAATCTGAGAATGGTTTCTCGCTTTGACTGGCAGTACAGATAACAATTTGGCTCAATGAATTTTGTAGCTACTCGTTTCGACGCTAGTACCGAAGTTAGCCCTAGTAATGTAGTCAGACACTTCGTGACCAAACTCCACGGAATCCATGAAAAATCAATAGAACTGAAACACCCACGTTCTATTGATAACTATGTCAATTTTCACTCGACATTGGCAGAAATAAACCTCCTAGAGAGGTGTGGTTGCCATTAAAAAAAAAACTTCAAAACGCTTTAAGCCTTTGACTCGGGCGGGCGTAACGCCGACAACAATCTGAATTTGGGCGAGGCGAGGCAAGGTTGCTCGAAGCGCAATGAAATACGTGACTACACTATCTTACTTCTGTCAACTTCACGAGTTATGCTAAGGTAATAAAGTTTATAAAGCAATAGAAAGAGAGAACAACGGGTCGAAATGCGTACCTGAAACACTTTAGGCGCGGACACGAGCGATGCCAGAGCTGAAGACAATGTCGCAGCGAAGCACCCTCCGTAGATCAGAGGTCCGAATCCCGAGACTAGGCGAATTACCTGGAAAAAACAGAATCAGTTAAGAATATTGTTAAGATGCCTACCACATTCTTAAGACTTGGGAAGAAATACGTTAACATCAGGCCTTCCCAATCCGTCTGACGAGCGCGCAGCATAGGAAGTGTAGGCCAAACTCTCTTTTAGCTTTTGGTAAATTGAAATGATATAAAATCTATAATTAATTGGTCTTTCATGGCTGTGAGCTCGTTAAATAGCTTACGATGTTGCTGTTCTGCAAGCCAACTGCTCAAACTCAAACTCAATACGCTCCTTTGCCTCCCTCTCTCTCTCTTTCTGTCCTTCTCACTTTACCTCTTACCCCTGTACCACCTCTCTCTCCATCTCTTCTTTATAACTCCCCCTCCTTCTCTCCCCTTCGCCCTCTCCCCATCTCTATCCCCCCCCCCCCACCCCTCTATCAATCAGGTGGCAGTGTACGTGTTGTGCTCTTTCTCGCTATCTGTCTCTCTCTCTCTCTCACTATCTCTCTCTCTCTTGTGCTCTTTCTCGCTATCTGTCTCTCTCTCTCTCTCACTATCTCTCTCTCTCTCACTCACTCGCTTTTTTTTTTCTCTCAATCGCTCTCTCTCTCTCAGTCACACGCTCTCTCTCACTTGCTCGATCTCTCTCACTCGTTCTCTCCCTTTCACCCTCACTTTCCCTCTCGCTCCCTCTTTCACTCTTCCGCTTTCTCCTTCTCTCCCTCTCTCTCGTGACGCTCAGTAACTCACATCGTTGCTGTTCTGCAATCCATACTGGCAGGTTCTATTAGCAGCGCAGTCCGCCATGGCCCAACCCGCGACGTCGGCCACGTCGCCCGACGCGTCGCGCAGCACCGTCCAGCCGGCCACGACGGCGATGAGTACGTACGATAACGTCGTGAGAAGAATCGCGAGGAGCGTGCCTTTGGGGATAGACTTTTGGGGGTCCTGTGAACGGAATAGAGAATAGCAAATACTGTATTTATAAGGTTAAATATTGGAGATCGACGGTAGACCTAATTTAGTTCATTGACTGCAAATAAATAATATGGACATTCTCCGTAATTCTAATGAAATTATTGAGAGAAAAAAAAGCAGTTTAATACATCTAAATGAAAGAAACCTGCTTGCGTACACAACGTTGTCCAACAACGACATTGCCGTTGCTTTATGCGTAGGCACATTCTTACAAACGCATCGCAATCTATTTTCTGGTACAAGTTTTACTAAGATTGAAAGTAGATGGCGCTATGACATTATCATCATCATCATCAACAGCCCTATACAGTCCACTGCTGGACTATGAGCCACCTTTACTATAGTGGAGAGTTTTGCCATAACCCCACGCTTGGCAGGCGGGTTGGAGATCGCAGATTAAAATGGCGCTTTTAAGATGGCACTATATAAAAATTACCAATTACATTTTTAATCTCTACTCATTTGATTGTTTCTTACCCACCAACTAAATAACTACCGCACTAAAGTAATTCTTATTCTAAAATCTAACACTAAAGTAAGATTGTTGACTCACCTTCAAATCGCCAGATATGTTAGCCCCAGCTAAGATGCCGGTAGCGGCGGGGAAGAATATGGAGAACACGGAGAAGAAGTTGTGCTCCACGCCCTCGAAGTAGCGGTAGTCCGGGCCCATGTTGCTGCGCAGCACCGACACTGAGGAAGGAGTATGATGAAGATGATGTAAGAAAATAAATAGTATGCAGATACCTCAACCAGGCCCAGCGTTGCCAGACGTCCCGATTTTGGCGGGACGTCCCGATTTTTAAATTAAATTTAAATGTCCCGCGCGGGACAGGCTCGGTCCCGCTTTTCGGAGAGAGACACTCACTTCACCAGACTATTATTTAAAACGCCATATTATTCTAAAGAATAAAACTTTTCATTTCGATTTTTTTTTCTTTTTTTATTCTAAGGACGAATTTAACGATAGAGTAAATCTGATTTAAAATATTTTTTTTTTTGTTAAAATACATTTTCTATGGCTACTTTTGCTATCTATTGTCACGTAAACGTAATTTTAAGTCAAATAAAAAGATAAATATTTGAAAACCTTTTATTAGGTATATACGTTTTTTACTATGTCCCGCTTCTGACGGAAGAATCCCGCTTTTTCACTCAAAAAGTACCAAAGTCCGGCTTGGCGAAAAAAAAAACTGGCAACGCTGACCAGGCCCCTCTTTCCCTTTGGGCACTCTGGGCACGGGCCCAGAACTCCGCTCTCAAAAAAAATACACAGTTCATAACTTTTAGTCCGTCTCCATTATCAAAAAATATTGAACACGTATATTTTTGTTTGTAAGAAGAAGTTCTGCGTGAAGTATTGAATGCTGCGTGAATTTTCATTAGTTTGAAAAAGCGAAAAATACTTGTCGAGTATTTTTTATAAGTGAACCGACGGACTAATTCAAACTCTTGCTTTTTTAACCAGAAAACATCCTTTGCATGTAATCGCTTTTTTTATAATACATTTTGCATTATCCTTTATTAAATGCTTGGGGTGTCTAGTGAGTAAAAAGTCGCTTTGCAATGGAGGGAAGTCGATACAATATTTCAAACTCCTACATTCTTCTGATTAAATTCGTTGCGGGTTCCAAAACAATTCGCTATCCCTCGGGACTACTCAACCTTCACTGGTAGGGTTTCATTGGAGGCCTTGCTGTAGATCCTGGTTATACAGAAGTTGCAGTAGTGGGATAAGTCCTATTACTGGATTAAAGACGATCCTTCGGATACTTCAGCAACCTTAATAATACATAATAAGCCCTTACTATTATATCCGACGAAGCCCTGCGCCACTTCCACTTCGCTCTTGGGCCCGATGGCTGATCCGATGCAGAAGTCAGCAATGGCCGCCAAAAGGATGACCAGCAACACGATCTGCGCCTCGGTCTCCCACTCCATACGTACAATATTACCGGCGCAATTCGATCGATTTACGACCGTTGAGTTTTGATTTAACTATCGATTCACTAATCGATACTTTGGCAACCTAGCCAAAAAATGATGTGTGATAACATAAGTCGATCTAAGTCGCGGCCAATCTGGAACTCATTAGGGGAGGCCTATGTTCAGCAGTGGACGTCTTGTGGCTGAAATGATGATGATAACATGAGCACTCACTATTATATCCGACGAAACCCTGAGCCACTTCCACTTCGCTCTTTGGCCCGATGGCGGATCCTATGCAGAAGTCAGCAATGGCCGCCAAAAGGATGACCAGCAACACGATCTGCGCCTTGGCCTCCCACTCCATGCCGACGATCACGATGCCAGTCAGTAAGACGATGGTGATGCAGCCGTATATCGCTTGGTCCTGGAGAAAAGATGGGCAAATAACTATTCAAAATCTTTCTTTTTTTATATTTGTTTGTATGGTACTTTATACCTAGGCGCAGACCACCGAATTTTAGCTGGCCGATAGTTGTGTCGGGTTGTTAATCAGTATGGGCATGTATGAAAGTGCGCACATAACACCGATTTGATATCGGCCGATTCTTCATACAAATTAGAATCGGGCCCAAGTATCAGCCAACTAAAAGTCGGTGGTCTGCGTCTAGGCTAAATATTTTTATTTTTGTTATGGGACAGGAGGCCAACGCCTTTGAAAAGCGGTATGAAACGTGTATGAGAAACGCATTCCCTTTATTCATACCAGGTCCGAACCTATCCTATACCTTCCTCATTGTGTACAGTCAGCGTCAAATAGTTCGTGACACTCAAAGTAGCCAATAAGTTCACAACACGTTTTGTAACCAATTGAAGAACCACGAACTATTTGAAGCTGACTATACAAAAATAAATCAAAATTGCTAACATTTAACTACTGTCTTCTTAATTTTAGAATTTCAATGTTTAAATGGACGTTTCAAAACATAGTCAATGTTTATGAACTATAGATATTTTATGAAAGGGAAAGTAACAACAACTTTATGGCAATGCGGTACGGTTAGTGGTAAAGGAAGTTGTGATAAAACATAAATATAACTTACTAAAACAAGTAGGTACATAATCATTATACGTGATATTTTAACAATATTTTTCCATTTTTAATAATTCATTAGTTCTAACTTTATTTTATAATTATCGAAACGTTTAATAATGACATTTCCACCAAACTCAATTTGTACATTAATTTCTTTTGACTAGTAAGATCGTCGTTCTGTCTCCTTCCTAAAGTTGCTGTGCCCTAACTGGGTCCACATTGTATAACTGCCTAAATTGTAAGACCTATAAATGTGAATGCTAATGTGGTTATGCAATAAAAGTATTGAGTATTGAGTATTGAGTATTGATATTATTAGTTGCTCTACACCCGCGTGATAAGAGACATGAAAGAAACCGGCCAAGTGCAAGCCAAACGCGCTCAGTCGAAAAATCGAATCCCTTCCTTTTTTAACCTATTTAACCTGTTCTTGTTGTGTTGTTGTAATAAAACTCATAAACTCATTTAATTTTTGCAAGTAGGCTTTTAAAAAGCACTTCTCACGTCCCAGTCTTAACCCTACCACTGCTTCGTGACAATAAATGGGTCAGTCCTGAGAAGAAGTAGCGCAAGAAACTCTGTCACTATTGTCAGCCTCTTTTCAAGGGTTTACAAAGACTTAAACTTTTTGCGACTTCTTAATTATGTCTTTAAAATATTATTTTATTGTCATGAATGAAATAACTTTGCACTTCGAATCATAAACTCATAACCTTCGACGTATCCACTACAAGGGCATGTGCAGTACATATTTATAGGAATACCGCAAGGGTCTATTTCCGTTCGCCTTATCTCTTTATCTACGGCACGCGTCCACTCTACGCGGTTGCGAAATTCAATAAACACACGCATTTGTACGATTATTTTTGGTCTGTTTTGTTCCTTTCGATTCGAAGTCGGTTCTATTAATGGGCACTAATCGATTTATTTTCCTCATTATAGATAGAAATGTGGATTCCTAGAGGAAACAGAAGTTGATAATTAAATACCAAATGCTATTTTAAGTAGCAGTAGTGCATTGAGGATTTAATTTACATTTACGTTGTCTAGTACCCATAGTACAAGCTTTGCTTAGTTTGGACTAGAAGCGTAGTGTAAAATGTCCAATAAAATTTAAAAATAAATCTTTTACACTAACAACTTGTATTGCAACGTATAAAATATTTTTTCATAAAAAGATTTAACTGTGAAGAAATGCATAAAGCCTCTAGCTGGAATCAAATCCTCAACTGTTGATGGCTCAAAATGGCAATGATAACACAACTTTATTCCAAGTGTAACAAAGACGTGTTTTATTTTATTTTATTTTACGTGTCACGAACTATTTGACGCTGCCTTTATCTGCGATGCGAACTCAAGCTATTTATCCGTAAAGTGTCGACGAAATATTAATATTTTTATACTTATAATCTGACGAGGAAAGCTGCCAGTTGCTATATGGGAGAAACGGGACTATTCCCACCTCTCGTTCCCACCACTGCAACTCCTGTGTAGCCAGGATCTACAGCTTGACCGCCATAAAAACTCAACCAATGAAGGTCAAGTTTGTCCCGGGGGAAAGTTAAACTGGCATTGGACCCGCAACGAAATTAATCAGAAGAACATAGGAGGAGTTCGAAATTAAGGTTCGAGGTAGATGGGAGAGGCGTGAAGTCGTGTTCTACGGCTCTTCTCTGCATTTCACATCCTGAAGTGGACTTTAATTGCATAGAAATATGGCTGATAATGACTCACCCAGCTCTTGCTGACCATATAAGCCGACTCCGGTATGAGCGGGATGAGCGACTCGCCGAAGCCGACTACGTAGGAGAATATATCAGCCCTATAAACCCGCCGAACTCAGCAGGGTAAAACGTGGTTTGAAGTTTCAAATGTTGCTATCTCTCTCTCCCCTCTTCCCTTCTCATGTAAACAGCGTTTTGGAGTAGCCGAGGTGTCCCGAGTGAGCGCGATATGATGTAGTAAGAAGATAGCTGGCAGTTGCTGAATGGAAAAGGCGTTGTTCTACGGCTCTACTCCGCATTTTACATCCAGAAATGGACTTTAATGACATAGAAATATGGCTGATAATGACTCACCCAACTCTTGCTGACCATATACGCCGACTCCGGTATGAGCGTGATGAGCGACTCGCCGAAGCCGACCACGTACATTGCGCACGCGACCGCGTTCGCCATGGAGAATATGAGCCCTATGGAGCCGCCAAACTCAGCAGGGTAAAACGTGGTTCGAAGTTTCGAATGTTGCCATCTCTCTCTCCCCTCTTCCCCTCTCACGTAAACAGCGTTTTGGAGTAGCCGAGGTGTCCCGAGTGAGCGCGATATCATGTAGTACGAAGATAGCTGGCAGGCGCCTTCCTGCTACCTTTATGAGCTGGCAGTTGCTCAATGGAAAAGCCGTGAAGTCGTGCTCTACGACTCTTCTCTGCATTTTACATCCTGAAGTGGACCTTAACTCCCTACAAATAATGATGATAATGACTCACCCAGCTCTTGCTGACCATATAAGCCGACTCCGGTATGAGCGGGATGAGCGACTCGCCGAAGCCGACCACGTACATGGAGAATATCAGCCCTATGGACCCGCCGAACTCAGCAGGCTAAAACGTTGTCTCAAAGTTTCGAATGTTTCCATCCCTCTCTCCTCTCTTCCCCTCTCACCTAATCAGCGTTTTGGAGTAGCCGAGGTGTCCCGAGTGAGCGCGAAGAAGATAGCTGGCAGTTGCTGAATGGAAAAGGCGTTGTTCTACGGCTCTTCTCTGCATTTCACATCCTGAAATGGACTTTAATTACATAGAAATATGGCTGATAATGCTAACTCACCCAGCTCTTGCTGACCATATAAGCCGACTCCGGTATGAGCGTGATGAGCGACTCGCCGAAGCCGACCACGTACATCGCGCACGCGACCGCGTTCGCCATGGAGAATATCAGCCCTATGGATCCTCCAAACTCAGGCCCAAGAGAGCGCGATATCATGTAGTAGGTTCCACCTGGAATTTGACCGCAGTTTTATTCGAGCGCACTGCGCTTGAAACAAATGGGACCAGTCCCGCCGTTACCGCCGCGAAAAGTATTTATGACTATTTTTACCGCCAATAAAGAATGAATGAATGAAGCAGTGAATAGGATGTTTTTCGCAAGGGCGAGTTAAGTTGTCATTGGACTCGCAAGAAAATTAAATAAAATACTCAATTGCTTTTAATTGTGACAACATCATGGACCTGGTATTTCCGTCACATTGTGCATTTCTTCTGTCATCTTATTCTTCGGTTGCACCCACCAAGATTTATCATTCGTTCATAGCTTTGGTTGTAGATTTTTAAAAACTACAGTAAAAAGCTGCCTATAATATTTTCGTGCGAATAGCTTTACACAGTGGAAGAACCAAACTAACAAGAGTTCTAATGAAATGTAATAAAGACCATTTTTAATTACCTCCTTTAATAACCCCGTTGGTGCTAATAGCCGACATGGAGAGCGCCGTGATGGTGGTCACCACCGACGTGGTCAGGATCAGCAGGATGGACTGCGCTGCCGAACCACCGACAAACACGTTAATAGGTTTACGACCACTTGACTTGAACTTCCATAAGTCAATATCATACTGTACATTATACATAGTACCTATTGAAACGACATAAGATGGCAATTATAGACAACAACAACAACAAAATTGGATGATAACATTGTACAGAGTATGGTAAATTGGTAAACTCTTAACGCCCCTGGCACACCTCAGCATCAAAGCCGTGATAGCGAAACGATTTCAATACACATTTTACATTCATTCGCGTTTACATCCGCACTATTTGCTAATGCAATGGGGCGAAATAAACGCAGAGATTTATATTGAAGTCATTTCGCTGTCATGGTTCACAGCGGAGGTTTGCCAGGGGCGTAGTTACAACCATCAAGGATTCGCCAAATAGAATTCGTAACTAGCGCGCGCTAAAGCGTTGGCCTGATGTTGCGCTATAGCGCTGGCGCTGTGTTTGACATGAAACTATCCACATTCTTATAGAGCGACGTCAGGATAGCTTTAATTTATTGGACATGCAAGTACAAATCTCTCATTATTTTTAGACCATAACACAAGGCTATAAATTTCAAAATAGTGGTTACTATATTACCACTTACCCACGCCAGCCTGCCCAACCACCCAGGACAGCCTTAGAAACAGCATCACCCCCCATATGTTGAGAAGACACCGCATCAGCACGCCCTTGATCCAGCCGAACTTGAGGTTGGTGGACGGAGGGTCCCGGATGTCCATGTCCTTCTCCAGGGTCTGGCCTGGCTGGAAGAGCGGTGATGATCATTGGTCATAATCATCAGGTCATTTAGTCTCTATTGAAGGAGCACGGCCCTCAAATGTACGGAAGGCAAATGGGGAATTGGCTAGTTTCCTAAAAAAATTTTTTAGTCCGTCAATTTTAATATAAAAACATATTGGACACATATATTTTTAATTGTCAATCAAACAAATAATTACAAAGTTATAGTGCGTTGAAGTTCCGCGCGACGTCACAAAGTGCTGCACTTTTACGCACTCACTGACGTCACGAGCCTTTTCTTTAGAACTTTGGCACGCTTTATCTCTTTACATTTTCATTAGTTTTAAGTAGTGAAAAATACGTGTCGAGTAGTTTTTAATAAGCTAACTGACGGACTAATTAAAACTCTTGCTTTTTTACCCAGGAAACATCCCTATTACATTCCCCATGCTAGCTACAGGTTAGTAAGGCCCAATGGTCGCATGTGATTATTGGTTACTCCAAAAAATATCATACAGCATGTAAAAAACCTGTTTGACCAGTGGTTGTGATGTTCAAATACTTTTTGTGTCGGATCATGTACCAGACCATAAAAAAGCTGCCAACTGAGCTGCTAGTGACTTTGCAGAAAAACTCCAAACACAGATTGATGATCGATCATTGAGGAAAAATGAATTTGTTAAAAAGATTTCGATGTTAAGCACCAAAATTACCCTTTCCGAACCCGATTGTTCTTGCATAACTGTACAAAAGTAGGTCAATCTTCTAGAATTTCATCAGGCATACCCCCTACAAACATCAACTGACAACATATCATTATTGATGGATGGATCTAATTGAATAAAAAGCATATTAAATCATTATCTCACAAGTCGGGCATTGACAAACATATGACTCAGTGATAATACTAGACCAGTGGGTGCATTATCAAGGGGCCAGAAGGTCACGGATTCACGGTGCAGGGGCCAAGAGATCACGGTGCATCGCGGACTGTGACGTAAGGTCACGCCCTAGGTATGGGTTAATTGATAATTAAGACCCATCAGCATATTTTTTAATCTTCCAGTGGGATGTTGCAATTGAACGTTGAATACCTTGACGTGCCAATAGAATTACTAGGTACTACGAGTACATAGTGGACTGAATGATCATTAACATGGATTAACATAATAAGTGCGAAAGTTACTCTATTTCGTTAATTACGTTTCACGCCTAATGGCAACAGTTTTGATTATGGGGGGCCGAAATTGAAAGAGAGAATCAATTAAAAATTCACGCTTTGACATTAAATGAAATTTTATTAAATACAAGAATGTTTGTTAACAAATTAATTTAATTTAAATTTCATTTAATTTAAACAATTACTTTAAAATTAATACGCAGTTGTATTTTTCCTTTATTAGTGTATTTAATTGTAATTACGAGTAATGTAGGTATATTTTTCCGAGCTTCAATGTTGTTCGAATACTCCAAGAGAACCACTAAAACTGCTTTCCCTCCATAACACCTTTCGTCCTACCCTATCAGTGTGTCAACTTGAGCCGGCCCACGTGGCCAAACAAAGGCGGCGTCTTACAACGTGATGTATCAACCGGTCAATTAATTAATGAGGGCCCACAATTAGGGGCAATTACTGGGCTCACCTGCGTATGACGTCCACGTCTAATGCGCCGTGAAGGACCCATACTTCGGGTTTTACGCAGTTGCCTATTATAGCCATATACGGACTTAGAGCGAAGTTTCACACTGTCATAACTTTTTACAGTCCGACAGACCATGACCATAAACATAACATTTATTTTAATCGCTATATTTAATTGGAGTAACAAATCCAAATTGATGTTCGTGACTACTTTAAGGTGATTTATTGACCACGTCCGGCCATAGACGAAAATCAATGATTTAGTTAATAACCCTCCTTCTGGCGCAGTCGGGTAAAAATAATCGCCCATCTAGTCCAATAATAAAATATGAACCATTTGTGGGCTTAGATTTGTAAATGTGCAGGTGGCAAACTCGTGAATACTAAGTTTCAAGTTGATAAACACACGTCAATGGAGGATTATTTAAAATTTAAATTCGTCTGCTTACAAAGATCTCTCTATATCAAAATTCATCTAAATCGCTGCAATCGTTCAGGCGTGAAAAAGTGACAAACAAATAGAGACACATTATGAATGAAATTATCCTTACTGAATGTATTATTGTTTTTGTCACAACGAATAACAATACAATGTTTTGGTAAGATTTAAATTATTAATCTTTTTGAAATTATGCTTGACCTTTTTAGTTTTCAACAGGCTAGTTGTTGGATTTTCACGGCCGTCAAGTGTACAATCGATAGCATATTAGACTCTACATCGCTGTTGCAAAATCACCCCTATCACCATTAGATAGAGTACCACAATGTTTAAAATATACCGTAGTATGTACATAATATTATCAAAGAATTCAGAACATAATTATTTTGTTAGCACATTAATATTCTTTTTTGTTTCCCATTCCCCACCTAGTTATGATTCACAAACTTTATTTTGCGTTACATACAAATGTCTTACTTTTACTTACATAATTTTGCTAGTGTATGAGTGGCAAATCAAGGTATACATTGTGACATTTTATATACCTAGTTGTAATACGATTTTCCAATAAAAACCTGGTGTACTGACGATCCTATAAATAAAAGTCTAGAAGCATACGCATGAAAATATGCAATTTCATAAATCTAGTCAGTTTCATTTTTAACTCGCGATCATGATCCTTTCAATATCTCATCCATCACTGAGTCACAGAGAGTTGTTAGTGTTCTTTTGGGCAGCAAAATATTTATCGAGCTGAAAGCTCTTTGTACACTACACAGGTTAAAACAAATTAAATTAGTTTCGTAACTCACCTTCCTAGATAAAGAAGCATTATGTAGTTCATCCAAAGTGGGCCGCGGGGCAGCATGGAGCGACAAAACGTTTCTGTAGTTGTCCAGCCTTGGCAAGGCTTCCCTGGTGAAATGTCTGCAATAATAAAACTTAATTAAAAATTGTGCACAAAATAAGTAAGAAGATAATAAGGTATTCAAATTATCTGCTAAAACATGTTAGCAAACTATTTGTCCCAACACTCTACTTCTGTATTAAAAACACCACCTACATTTTACACCATGTTGGGCGCCATTGTTAATCTCAAGGTTTTGGCGCCCAACGTGGTGCAAAAATATTTTCATTCTCACCTGAAACTCTTGCCATATTTGGTGTCTGTGGCGGTCAATGGATCGTCGCTATCCATGCCTGATGCGTCGGAGTCTTCGGTCGCGTCGTCTTCTGTGGTTTTATCCTCCATCTGAATACAAAATAAATTGATTATAAACAATATTTGCATTAGCATTAATACAATAATTGAACATGTAATACGATGTAAAATTATTGTTCGCACTTAAATGTGTTTTCGAATCGGTTTACCGCTTTTAATGGCTATTTAATAACTCGTATTTAATTAGTTAATAGTTTCCTATATCCTTCAATACACATATTACGCAACTTTAACGATTAATAAAGCCAGTTCATAAACTTTACAGTACAATACTTTATGCATGATTATCACATAACGATTTTATTTATTTCTTGATTTATGTGCTTCATAAGTATTGCATTGTTTCTGCCACCGACATTCTTAACCCTTGGCTACTACTCAAAATATTTTTTACACGGTCACTACTCAAGGGTCATTTTGACCCTGCTATAAAACTCTGTATATCTTCAAAACTATTGCGGATTATGGAGTAAAACACATTATTTAATAAAAAGGGTTTATAATGCAATGAAATAACAACTTGAATTGTTAACTAAACAGTTTGGACAAACATTGATTGAGCATGTGTTGCAAATGGGTATTTTACACGAAGAAAAAACACTGTTGGGTTTGCGATCTTTTTTATAGGGGCAAATGCCGCAAAGTTTCCTTTTAGATACCACATTAGAGACAACTGGAACAGATCTTTCAGGCATAGGCAGTTTGTATATCCCTGAAGTTATCAGACGCAATTCTCGGGGAATCTTTTCATTGCAAATTCGCTGCTGATCGTAAGGTAGGCATAACTTCATATCAAGCCCTCGTAGGAAGTTTGGTCGATTTACTGATGCTGTGTAAAGAAACAAAGGTGGAGGGGCCTTGTATCGTGGAAGTATCCACCTCATTAAAATCACCATCATCAAGCAACAAAACATTGACAAATTCTTCATCCGTGAGCGCATTTCCACTACCCATACCTATGACAAACCAAACCAAAATTAAGAAAAAGACGACGACAAAAAGCTACACAATCATTGCAAAGCAATTCCTCAAACAAATAGTATTTTACACATAAAAAAAATGTAAAAAAAATATCACAAAATATTTTTTTATCGCCTGTCCCTGCTACTCAAGGGTCACCGTGACCCTGTCTTTGCCATTTTGGCGCGAAAAATGCACTGAGCCACTGGAAACACCCACCATACGAAGTAGCGAGTGCCGTACTGAAAATACACGGGCGGGGGACTCGCAGTCGTTAGGGGCTATTGCCAGTAAACGTAGGTTTTAAAGTTGGCAGGGTCTCACTGACCCATGAGTAGTAACCAAGGGTTAATGTTTCACATAGCGCATAGCGAAGTCACGTGTTCAAACAAACAATATGCATATTTCATTGCAATACTTACTTAAATGTTATTAAATAATCTATACTAATATTATAAATGCGAAAGTAACTCTGTCTGTCTGTCTCTATTTTACGCCTAAACTACTGAACCGATTTTGATGAAATTTGGCATAGAGATAGTTTGAGTCCCGGGAAAGGACATAGGATAGCCTTTATCCCGGTTTTAGAAACAGGAAAGCGCGTGTTAAAGTTTTTCTGTGACAGACATAATTCCACGCGGGCGAAGCCGCGGGCGGAAAGCTAGTATTTTCTATAACGAAGTGTTTATTACCACGCAAAGTACATTAATTAAAATGCATGCGAAATTGGAATTGCATTAGCAAATATTGTAGAAATGGAATATTTTATCCTGACTACATACACATTTGTACAAAAATAAATTATGTTATTGTACTGCCATATAGGTATGTACTAACAATTGAACTTTATTACTGTGGAAAATTAATAAGTGATAACATGGCTACTTTTCAACAAGAAAGAGCCCCAAATGATATTAAGTTGACTAAACAAACTGCTGGAGGAAACCAATTCTATTGAAATATCATTCGTGAATCGTGATGTTATTCGTGTCAATGTTTTATTTTTTAACGTATTGGGGACTAACTTCCGGATGGCCAAATATATCGGCTAGTTAGCATTTATATCAATCGGCAGACAGTGGTGACTGAGTTTGTTGCGGCGCTTTTTCTCAGCACTTGCCAAATGTTGGTCTCGAAGCGCTGGTAGGGTAAAAAAAAAAATGAGACTATTTGACGATTTGTATAGTCTATACAAATAAAGAAATTTTGATATTGAAAGATCAGTTTTGTTTCGTAATCGTAACTTGTCTTGAGACCGGCTTCGCCCTCAGGAATTCAGTTCGGCGAAGAAAGTTCTCTGCGCATTCTTCGGGACTGGGCACTTGTTTGTATAACTGGTACAAAAATCGATATCAATCGATGACATATTTTTCACGAGTACCTCAACGACTGACGGCGCTAACAAACATATTTACAAACAATATTTTTAACACTATATTTTTAGTAAGTTTTGCTCTACCTTACTACTCCACCCACGTTTTACGATTATGTAACAATTTTAAGATGTTGGCCACGTGCGTTTTCGCTATAGGAGTATGAGTCACGAGTCACGATTGTGAAACATGTCCCATATACGAGGGTTCAAAAAAATTGGAATGTGATGGAATGTTGGTGATATGATAAAGCCAGCATTTAACCACATATAAGTCTAGGAATGGCTATTTTCTTTTTCATTACTGACTATACCACCATGCAACTTAACAGTGGTATGCACAAATGAAATAAACGTGATCAAGTAAATCAAACATTAATGGTCCATTGAAAGCAAATGTAACTAGAGCTATTACGTCTGGTGACGTTAATTTGTAATTTAATCTATTGATGTTAGTGTTTACGTGGAAATAATGTCATCTTCTAGTTTACTCCGTTTTAACTTATATCTCAATCCTCTGGTCCACGTGTCTAGACCGCAATCAGCTCGTATCTATTATCACGTAGGTGTTTTAAATACAATCATCTCTATTACGGGCACAATGAGCCATCGCGGGTAACGGGATGAGCGGTTAGAATTTAAAACAATCAGCTACTGCGCTTGCGCAAGTTTGTGGTGAAAGCGATTTTCGAAATGTGCGCTTCAGAAACACAAAGGGCATTTTAAAAATATTTGTTCTTCTGTCAGTATGTTCAACAACCTGGTTCTTACGGCCATTTGGATTCATATACTGCGCTGGTATGGTTTAACATTCCGAAATCCGATAAGTTACGATGAAGCTGCTTTTTAAAGAGACTGGAATCAACGATACAATTTTCATTTCATTGTGCATTCAGTTTAAGCATTTGACAAATATTGGTTTTCAAAGTTGTTACTTTAATACCTTGATGTCAATTATGTATTTTTAGATTACAATCTACATGTTGATGATATACTTTAAGATGGGGATTAATGAATGAGTTACATAAGTGCCGTCTAGATAAGTAATCACTATCCCATTACTATCGCCGGTGTAGGTCTTCATCTCAACCGGAGTTCAGTCTCATCTAATCTACAACTTATCCAATCATAAGACCAGTATTGCAAAATGTTCTGTTAGCCCAACAAATCACGGTTTAAATTGCATCGGCGCTGTTTAACTTGGGCTAAATATAGTCACACTCACATCATACGAACTGGTTCACTCTGGAGTGGTTATTTTTACGTTTCTTTATGAGGATGTGCCTTTTAAATCGCATTGTGGTCTTGGTTAATCGCAGGGGCGTTTGCACCACAAAGGACGAGGGAAGTCCAAGGAAGCGATGTCTATAGGCGGAGGAAGTACGACAGACATTGACGTCTTATGTTACGTATCTTTATGTTCAAAGCACGTTTGAAAGGTGCCAATTTTGCTTTAAAGAAATCTAACTGTACTTTAAGCTCAATAGTAAATAATTTATTGCTCTTCTTAACGTAAGTCGGGTCGGTACATCAGACTAAAAATATACAATTACATTTACCATATGCCACGGTAATCGAAGTTGAAGTTATTTTTTCAAATTAAAAATAACAGCACAGTGCGGACTACGCGGTTACGTGCATAGGCTAGTAGCTATTAACTACAATATTCGTGAAAGTGTATGTAATACAGAATGACAGGAATTAACGGAAATGATAGGAAGGAAAATTCCCTTACTTAACTGGGGGCTACTGACTCTTTAATCGCGTGCAACTGAAGAAACCAGACTGGCAATAAGAACAGGAAATGATAATTCCTGACAACTGGTTTAAAAGCCAACTGGTGTAGGCATTTTACGAGCATTTCAAACTGGTACCTATGGCATGTTCTGTACCTAAATGTAAGCGGGCGTTTGAAAGGATATTGGCACTTACATAAGATGTATTCATTCACCGATTGAGTCCCAGACGGCATTAATTAATGTCATAACAATTGATTATCTATTGTGTCTAGATTCGCGGAGCTTGAAGGATTAATAAATGAATTTAGAGGAAGCTCAAATGATTTCCTCAAAATTAATGCGGTTTTATAATAAAAACGCATAGTAAACACATAATTATTATTGTGCATTATTCTTTGGAAAGTAGTTCCCATTTACGACTTTTATATCAGCTTCCAGTCTCTGAATATTCCATTAATACAGTCCCAGCTACTTTGTTACTTAATCCGTTAAAAAACCGTGCCATTGTGTACGTGTGTGCTTCTATGCCCGTAAAATTAACTATTGTTAAAAATTATACAAGACGTGTGACAATTCGAAGGGCTGCTGATTCACTCGCACTGCCTCGCACGTTTTCGTATTGTTATTTCGACGTTAAGGTTGAGAAATCTGATGGTTCGAAAAACTTGGGGTCTGCCCCTTTAGAATTTAAATGGTGTGCTAAATAACTCTAAGTGCATGTGCTGAATATTTGGCAGTAGGTACAGTATGCATTTGCAGCTGCAACGCTTTGAGACAAACAATATACGAGTAATAACCGCCTCTGTGGTCTAGTGGTAAGACCACCTGCTTCAGACGCAGAGGTCCCGGGTTTGATTCCCAGTGGGGGCAGATTTTTCTGTTCGGTTTGGTTGGTGGTAGGGCTTGTTCTAAGTCCGCCTGGCTAGCTACCACCATCTTACCTAAGTCTGTCGCCATAA